CGAGCTCTTTAAAACAAGAATCAAGAAATCTACATTTCACTCATAAACATATTTGTTAAATATTCTTTTATATTTGAATATTGTTTAAGGGTGCAATATTGGTTATGTTTTTGCAAAGTTCGTTTTATCGTTAATACTATTCGTATAAAAACAAAATCAGAATATTCATAAGTTAAGGAAATACATAACAGAGAATATACTTCTATGTGAATACATATTCAAAGCCCGTCGGATCATCCATACAAAAACAGGAGACAAAATTAGATAATAAATTTTACCGTGTATAGTTTTCGTCCAATTGTTAATGTTTTTACCTTCTTGAGTAACATACTGACTAATAGTAGACTTTCTTACACCGATATGGGTACAAGACTTACTCGTGAAATACAAGATTTTATATTTTCCCCCATACTCATCAACCTTTTTTCATGGAATCGCATTTTTTCTGTCAGTCACTAAATGTAGTTGATCTTATCGCCAACGCCCAATCACAACAGCTATCAGTGTTCTCTTTGATGTTTTGAATCAATTAGTCTGGATCCATCAGCCCTAACAAGCATTCAGAAGCGATTAGTTTTAAATAACATATTCTGATTTCAAAGGATCAGTTATTACCAATTCAGACTTTAGATTAATTATCGCACTAGAAATAGAGATGCAAGTTACATAATGCGTGGAAAATAATTTTACAGAACTGAAGTATTAGCCATAAAAACTCACTACAAAACAAAGGCTTTCACCTGATTTGTGGCGAGTGTTCCTGTGACAAGGCTGGACGCTTTGTCAGACAAATGGTGCGATAAATATCAACTTTACACTCACACACGCTCTACCTAGAAGTCAGCTGAGATGTTAGGTACACATTCAAGTGGTTTAGTCTGGTGATACAACAAACTGGTGTACCTAACAAATGCAACTACTGACACTCTTATTACATTTAAATATACTCGAAATGACTCATAGAAAAGACTGCCTGCTTAAATATTGCACTTACTGTATATTGTTGTGCAAGTAAGTGAAACCGGCATACCTTAATCTATGGGGAAGATCAGTTTTATTATAATAGTACGGACGTAATTGAACCACTTCAGTAAGTTTTGGCCTCCAGCCAGACTTAAGAAAAATTACATTGTTGCTTGGAAAAAGCTTAGTGACATTTAATTTGAAAGTTTGATATGTGAAGTCCAGTGTTGTTCATCATTATGGACTGATAATGACAACAACTTCAAGAACACTATGTTTACAAGGAAGCTGTGGGATGAAGTGGGAGCAGCATATGTCATGTCAGTTAAATTAATAAAATAATTTCTATCAAAATATGGTATTTTTAGGGAAATTTTTCAGGTAAAAAGTGCAAGCCGCTCAAACAGGTGCTCTAACGCCGCTTGTATCGCAACCACCCTCGACGCTCTGGTGACGCTCGAGTGCCGCTCAACGCTTGTCGCTCGACGCTCACCGCTCGTATCGTGCCCGGGGCCGCGGGGCCCAATACAAGACAATATTTATCTCTTGCATTTTGGAACTTTTGAGCGTGTGACACTGCTTCATACATAACTAAACACATTTAATAACCATAATGAAGAAATAGGGGCATCGAAAATACAAAGAGCTGTTACTTAGGTTTAGAAGTTGAAATGTAGATGAGCAAAATACTAGGTATATGTTGTTTGGCTATATGCAATATTGAGAGAGTACACTATGCCTACTCAGATATCTCAACTGCTTACTCTGACACAATGCCTCTCGCAACAATGTATGGCTTCGTCACAATGTGTTTTGTGTTCATGTATTGTACTCGCCCGGCTACCGGCTTAAGAATTCACTTACTGAAATCTAGAAGCGACTGTAGTGCACGGTACACAAGAGAGGCAATTTCATCCATCCCTCTTCTAGTTTTCATTAAAATATTAGGGAACAAAAATTGTTTTATTACTTCACGTCTACAATAGGTTAGGTTATGTTAAAAATTCTTACTGACGTAACATTATTAGACATTAAGAATCAGCGCCCTTTTGAGCCTTGAAAGAGCTTATGAATACTTTCCTTCATTTGATCGTGTGCAACAGAAATTTTGCAGATTTTAATTATTCTGTGGCACAGCTAGAATGTATTTGTTATAGTTTTAGGTTTCAGGAATATTGACTAATTTACAAGAATAGAAAATATTCTATAATTTATTTGCAAATGAATGAAAAATAAATGTGTAAAATCAAGAATTTCCCACAGGAAACAATACAAGTTTAGATATTCAGATGACATTATTTGCATCTGGCGAGCAGTGACGCCAGAGCAGAATATCGACGCGATGGTTGTGAGTTGAGGAATGAATCGGTCATCACAGTGAAGCGGTTAGGAAATATCGGCGACGAATAAATACGCCTTCAAGTCAAGAGGATCATGGGACTTCGTCTTGCGTATCAGTCCTGTGTTTTATAAGAATTAATTGCATCAACTTACACTTAGTCTTTCAAATCCAACACCTTTTAATGCAGCTTAGGTTCGTAGGTCTTAAGTTATTTATTCTGAGGAATGTTCTTATGGTATTTATGTTCCTTCTAAAACAATGATTTTCCGCTTGGTATATCTTGACGTGTTGCACATTTGTATTTAATATATTTAACATATCAGTGTTTTTTTCCACCTCTCCCATATTAAAACAAACTATTTATAAAATAACAATTATTGAGGGATAAGTTATATTGAACATCAGTGTTAAAATGCAGGTACTAGAGTTAAATAATACTCACAAATTAAAATTGAATCACAGCCACTCTCTATTCTATGGTTAAATAAATTTGTTGAAAAAATTTAAATTGCAGACACTACTAAAAAGCTATTGGACCCAAGAACACGGCAGAAAAAATACATATAGGTAATTTTTCAACTATTCCTTAAATACATGCAATTTAGAGAAAACGCTAATATAATGGGTCCCTAACACCTTATAATGGTCTGTAAAAATATTGCATGGTTAAATAAATGTACATATTCGTATATACGTATACTCTACTTGATAAAATGTTGTATTATCCTTAACAGAAAAGGATAACTTTTCTAGCCTTTTGCAAGAAATTCAAATTTTGCTCCTCTCCCCCTTTAAGGGTAGATGGGGAGCAACTAAACATTTCCAAATGTAAAGACCCATGTTGTGACCTTTAATATTTGCATGTCGACCTATCCATACGTTTATGATTTTAATACATAAATCAGTTATGCGTTACCTCCTCAGGGGTGGGCTGTTAGAAGTCGGAGGAAGATCATAAACGTATGGATAGGTCAATATCCACATCAAATTAAAGGTCTAAATTAGAAGAATACAATGCCACAAATTTGAGCTCAAAAGAACAACTGAATGGCATCTGTTCAAATATTTAAAATGACAGATTCAAGATATCTTTGAACAGCTGCCATTTTCAACTCGGTTATCCGTTTGAGTGAGTTAAAATTTGCGGCATTGTATTCTAATAACTAAGACCTTGAAAATGAGGGGTCACAAAATGGGTCTTTACATTTGAAAATCTTTAGTTGCCCCCCATCTACCCTTAAAGGGAGAGGGGGGCAAAATTTAGATTTCTTGAAAAAGCTAGAAAAGTCATCATAATGATGTGATGAGTTGCCAAATTTTATCACAATGAGTTGAGAAATATACACAATACGTAGTGGTGTAGGCCTATGTGGATTAAAAAATTGTAAGAACTTAAAACAGTACAAACTGTTTTAATCGGACTTTGTGTACTTCGCCATTACAAATGCATGTTTAAATTGAGTGGAATAACTTAGAACAACTTTTCAGTCGTTACTAGGAACACAACAGATTCTGGCTGTAATCAACACAATTTAGAATTACGCAAGAGTCTTCTCTCAGACTACTCCAATTAACTGATTAAAGCAAAGCTGCTTCATCAACTTAAACAAATTACTATAGCCATGTTTTCAGGGCGTGGATCAAAAGTACAATACCAACGGAACTTGCTTGAATCATCTTTTAATTTAATAGTTCATAAGCCTCTTAATTAGTTTTTCATTAGAGTTGAATTTTTGAACGATAATTTAAGGCTATAAGCAATAACAACTTGTGAGCAATAAGGCTTGTGAGCAATAAGGCTTGTGAGCAATAAGGCTTATGAGAAATAAAAACTCGGAAATCAGTTCAGTATGGTTCAATTGGCCAAGAAGCAAACTTTTATAAGAAAACAGGTCTACCAATGCAATGAAATTATCAAAAACTGAAAGTTGGGACTGGCTGCTGAGCTAGTAAGCTTTAAATATACATCATACATTAGACTGTTTGGTTTCATCACAAATAAATTTGATTCTTAAAAACTAACAATCTCGTGTAGTTTAACTGGTCACTCTCAAGCGTAATTTTATTGGAATCCATCAAGTATTTATAAGATAAAGATGTTGAGCTCTGACATGACCTTAGCCTTTGATATCAGCTGCTTGTTACGAACAAAAACCTGCTGCGTAACTCTTTAAAATATCTGTAATTCAATACTTTTCATCTATCCTATTATGTGAAGTTAATTTGATTTTAATTAAAACAAAGCTATAAAATTTTTCAGTGTTATTTTTCAAGATTAATTCTAATCTATACTTCTTTTTGACTTTCTCTGAAACACATTGTGCAGTGTAAAATTAATAGATGCACTTCATCTTTTGAATCCTCGCATATACAACTTGTGCTGAAGAGGCAAGATATGTTTAACCTAACTACCAGACAAAACAAAGTATCTCAACCGTTATGTTGAAAGTAATTTTTGTGAAGAGATAAGCCATAAAAATGTTTCAATTTGAAAGCTATACTCGACGTAAGTATAAGTTATGTATTGAGAAAAAGAAATACTACAGATAAGAATGTACTTACGTATGCCAGAAGGTGCCAATTGTAGATATTGTTCATGCTGTACATGTTTCGACCTTCAATACACGGCTCATATTCAGCAGCATTCTAGCATGTAAAATTTATTACATGGAGAGATTGTTTATGACTATTTACGGGAAACACACGCACATATAGAAATAAACATTGTACAGCATGAATAATATATGAAAGTGACACCTTCTGGCATACGTAAGTAGATTCTTATCCATAGTAAAAATATTGAAGGTGTCAAGGCTAATCAATTCGAAAACTAAAAGTTTACGCAATATTGAAAATAAAATACTCCATTTGTCAATATAAATTTAGAATAGTAATTACCTATACTGTTATAAACTCTCAATACAACAAATTACAAACAATTTACAAACGAATTAGGTCTAGGACTAGAGGGTAAACTATTTCCGAAACATAAACAAATGTTAGTATCTGTTTTATTAAATTATATAAATAATTCATAGGAACTTATATAGCACTGGTGCCTGTTTCGACATATACCTTTACACTTTTTTAAAGTTCAAAGGTGTCCATGGGACATCCATACATCAACTAACTCCCTTCACTTCCCTTGCTGGTATCGTCACTGTAAACTATTATTGGGTGTTTCTATGATCAACGCCAACAGACTGTGTCAGAGCTTGTCCACTTACCGCAGCACATCCTGAGCATACAGTATAGTATAGTCAAGAGAGGAAGGACTGCCTAGTGTCTTTCTGTCATAAAGTATCCACACAGTTCTTGAGTGCAGTGAGGTGTTTTCTGACGTCACTAACTGCCCTCCATGTCTGCTCTTCCACACAGACAGTGAGATCCTACCCCCCTCGGCCTTGCACCTACAGCTGTTCAGTGCTGTCCCCAACACTGCTGCAATCCCCAGTGTCTTACTGTCATAAAGTATCTACACAGTTCCTGAGTGCAGTGATGTGTTGTCTGACGTTACTAACTACCCTCGATGTCTGCTCTTCCACACAGACAGTGAGATCCTACCCCCCCGGCCTTGCACCTACAGCTGTCCAGTGCCACCCCCAATACTGCTGCAATCCCTAGTGTCTTACTGTCATAAAGTATCTACACAGTTCTTGAGTGCGGTGATGTGTTGTCTGACGTCACTAACTACCCTCCGCGTCTGCTGCTCAACACAGACAGTGAGGTCCCTCCGCCCCCGACCTTGCACCACACAGCGGTCCAGTGCCGCCCCCAGCGCCGCTGCCGCCCCCTGGTGTCGCTCCCTGTGACCTGTAGCGCACTTCACCACCGCCAGCTCCACAGTCTCGATGTCGTCCAGGTACTCTTTCAACACCCCCGCAAGTGTCGTCGTGGTAGTTGTCACATTCACGTCGGTTTCGCCTTCCTCCTTCAACTGCAAACAAAACTTATTGAAATCGTTTCAAAACAAGGAAGAAAACACAGTGTTTTAGAATGGGAGCACAAAAGGGACTATTATAGGCCTAACTAAAATATTAATTTAAATTACCGTGAAATCGGAGAAACGTCCTTCATAGCTTTGTTCCTGGCCAAGGTCAAATTGTTAGCCCAAAAACCAGAGGCATTTGGGTCCAGAATTGACCTAAATTGGAGTCAATCCCGCGACCTTTTTTTTGAAGGTGAGTACGATAACCACTCTGCTACCCAGAGAGTTTGATCATTGATCAAGGGTAACTGGATCCAGCTCTATCAGTAAATTGCTTAGCTCTGAGGAGGCTATAATGAATGATAATTTATCGCAACGATTTTAAAAGATATTCCTAACGATTCATTTTTAGCATTTATCTTCTCCTTTGTTTAAAAATTAATAACACAATTCACAATTACCTTGTAACTTAAAATTAATTAGGTAGGTATTTAAAACCTGATTATATTGTGATAAAACCAGGGTTTGGAACCTCCTATTACAAATAACCTATAAATGCTTATGACAAAAAAAAATAAAAGAGGTTTTAAGCACAGAGCTTGTTTTATTCAAGTTATTTTATGAAAAAAAAACAACTACTTAGAAATGTCATTGGTGACTGTGTTTCAAGTGACCTTTTTCATAATAAAATGAAAGCCATTCAAGGGTACCATAATTATATTTTAATAATGCTTTAGTCAAAAAAGTATTCCAATGGATAAAAAATAAATTTTTTATACATTACAATTTTATAGCTGCCAAGTCCTCATCTACATAATATAATCAAAGTTAACGAATCCTATTCTAATCAAGCTTACATTTGAATAACGATTAGTGATGTTTATGAACCAATCAAATTCAATGGATAGCCAAGTAAGTGCGAAATATACTTTACTTACAGCATTACGTAAAATATTATTATATAAGATGAAAATGCACATGTAGTCAGTAATCTTTTTCAGAAGAGAGCAGAAGCTATTTAAAGTTTCCCTACATGGTTAGTTTTTGTGATTATTTCTAAATAAATAAGAGAAATAAGAAGTCAATAAATAAATATGAAAAAACGTGTGAGTAAAGCTGTAAACTAACCTTACCTAACCTAACGTAACGTAAACTGTGGGGTTTCCACAGTTGAAATAGTGGCGGCCCTCTTTTGAAAAACACCATACGTTTTTATAAAATATGATTGATTATTAGGTTTAAAATTATTAGATGAAACTAAGTTTCTATAATGGTAATCAATCTTTTATTTAGTCTTCAGAACACCCATCCAGTCCCATGGACATTCTAAGATACTTTTTATACTAAGGGTTACCTGTGCGGAAACTTCCACGGATAGCATCAGAGTCAATAACACAAACACCGTTCTTGTAAGATCCATCGCGGTTGTGATGATCAATGACCAATGACCAGCGCCACACAACTAACTGTGATACTCTGTGATAACTGTAGCGAAGCATGCGTCATGTGACATAGTCGTTGCGTCACAGGAAAACACTGTCTGAATCACACCGAACATAGTTTCCTTATCACCAACAAAAACTAGATGTCTTATCTCAATGCCTCGGGAAAACAACACACACTAACAGAAAACGATATCAGTGTTTAGTAATTAACTGTTTGTCCTAAGGAATTTAGTAAATTTGTGTTTTCCAATGCAGTTTCATATTTACCGTACTTTATTGTAGAAAGAATTTTAGGAAATAATGAATATCAGTTTTTAATTTAAATGAAATATATCATAAATAGAAAAATTTGCTAACATACAACTTTTGCCTAAGGTCAAAACGCTTTAATTTTTAGATACTAACAACATTTTACATTATTTTTAATGGAGCTTTTTATATAGTTTGACATAAAACGGTTTATTTGCCTTTCGGAATAGAGAGCAATGGTAAATCCTGCTAAGCCATGCTGAAAAAAGTATAAGGTTTAACTACAGGGTGAGGCAGAGGTGAAGAAACTTGCTTTTCAAAGTTCGCAACAAAGTCAATCTTCTTAGCTGCTCAATCGGGTATCACAAAGTCTTTCTATGAATTCTTTGATTCATATAACTGCTACAAAACATCTTTTTAATTGTATTGTACTATGTAAACACAACTCTCCTTAGCAGGAATAAAATATATGTTTTAACACTTAAACTGTTTTAACCACTTAACGTCCTCGACTTCGTATTGAATTTAAAAATGATTTTGGAAAAGCCTCATTCCTAGGTACCAATTATTGTGACAGTCCAATACAATTCGTAAGTAAATAATTTATTCGGTGCTTGTATTAATTGTTAATCATTTTAATCTCAGGAAACGTTTTAAGAAGATTGTCAATTTAGTAGCCTTTCTATGAGATCATTATTCCACAGAACCATTTACCAAGTATATTCGGTAACGAAAGTTGCTACTGTACATCCTTGCAATCTCCTGTGGCAAATTATGCATAAAACCGTCAAAGATGTAGGTTAACAGCATCTAGCCTACGTGGAATGTATCCTTTGTGAACTACGTCGGTTCAAGGAACACAATAAATGTAACCAACTGTTCCAGGTACGCATAGAATATCATCCAACATAATTTCAAACTGTTTTGGAGATTGATTGACCGTATGATTCAACTAAAAAACTATCTACCATGTACCTACTTTACTTTCAACCGTATTATAATTTACCTGGAAAAAACTTTTAGGTAGGTGTATACAATTTAGAGGAAACGTTAACCAATACAACGCGGTTTAATTCCTCCAGACTATATTCAGGTTACATACCAATTTGTATTCGTATGGAAGCTAAAACAATATTATTTCTCTATTAAAGAAACGTTACTGTAATTTCCAATCCAAATTTCATGGTTGGTCCATTATTTAGGGTATATTGTAAATTTAAGAGATCTCAACTTATTCTAATGTGTATTAAATTTTTACATGTATTACCCACGGGAAAATGTTGCTAGCCCAAAGTAGAGAAATGTTTACAGTAACTTTAAAATGTTAGTTTAGAAAATATAACACAATAGATTAAACAGAGCCAAAATTGCATTTGTAAAGTTCAAAGATTTGCAAGACATTTTCGTAATTATCTAGTTTCACTAGTGGCTGTATCTTTTGAAACACCTTCCTAACTGTATTTAATTGAGATGGTTTAAGTGATGGACAAAGAAGTACATAGTATTGCCGGTTTCGTCCGTTGATTTAGACCTGTTATGGTAAATTCTACACTTATAATTTATTTTAAACTATATTCAATCATATATGAAAGTAAAAGAAAAGAAATAAGTAAAGTTTGAGTGTACCATATAAGAATAAAAAGTGCACTATGCTATACTCTGGTCGATCCTTATTCTGTTTACTTAACCTCAAATCCGTTTGATATTTTAATATTAGAGACGTAGACGTATTCAAAGAGAAAAGTGTTCTATTTTGAATACTTTAGAGGAGTAAAATACGTGAACTGGGGCGGAACTGATATCCGCTGGGCGTGAAGAGAATATCTAGAACAGTTTCTTGAATGGGATTTATCTTATTTTATTGAGGAAGGAAAAACAACGAACAATTCAATTTGTTGCTGACACATGTATTGTTTTGATCGTAATTGTGTTTTCCAGTATTAGACCATCAACGCAATAACCTTATACAGGGTGATTTTTACACAGTGTGACAACAACATTTTGGTGTAAGTACAAAGTAAATGAAGTGTGATGATGCATATAAAAGGTTCCAAGTCAAAAAATTAGCTTCCCAAACAATTATTTTATGTTTTTCAAAAATAACTATTATATTAATCTAGAGGTTAAATACCTTATTGCCAACGTAATCCTTGGTAGACTTAATGGCTACCGGTCTCGACACACTTATGGTGTCATTGTCAAGCCTAGACGTGGTTTTTCGCTCCTAGGAGGTCGTTATAAAGTCTTCAAAAACGACCTCCTAGGAGCGAAAAACCACGTCTAGGCTTGACAATGACACCATAAGTGTGTTGAAACCGGTAGCCATTAATTCTACCAAGGATTACGTTGGCAATAAGGTATTTAACCTCTAGATTAGTATTTGTTAAGTAATCCGGAAGGCAACACCTCAGAAATGAAACTATTATATGTTTTAGCGAATTTCCCTATAGGGAAGTAGCTATTACCGTAGGTCTCATGGTAAGACCTAGGCCCGGGACCGATTTACTTTTTCATTTTGATGTCCCCAGAGGCCAAAAACACCATTCGTTCAAATTTTTATATATCTATATATAGAGATATATATATATATATAGATATATATATATATATACACAGGGTGTTTCACGGGAACCCTGACAAACTTCGGGAAATGGTTCCTGGGGTCAAAACTAGAAAAAAATGTCCTGTAAGCATATGTCCTAAACTCAATCGTTTGCTATTTATACGTAAAAATGTGTTTTTTTAGATTTTCAGTGTATCTGTTGAACATTTTAACCTCTAGATTAAAAAATCTTCAAGATATTTTAATTAAACTTGCATAGCTAGATAGAATATTAAATTACAAAGAGATTTCATTAATATTATGTGCACACATGTTGGGTATCACTGAGAAAAATGAGTTAAAAAATCAAATTTTCCCGAAAAAATGATAATCCAAAAATATTTTTTATTTTTGACAGCTCTTCATACTTAAACCATTTAGTCGTTTGGCTTGCAACTTTACCAAAAGTTGTAGAATTTAATGGAGAACAATAAAATATCAACTTGTGTATACCTTTTATGGGGATTATCTTTATCAAAATCAAAAATATTGTAAGGTAACACATATTAATTTAATTTGAAGGAATAAACAAAAATGTATATTTAGCTTATTTATAAACATACCTCACTAAAAATTCGTATATTGGTTTTCCTAGTTGAGAAGGTTCGTATAAAGGCCTAAAATCCTCCATCCTTTTCATTTTTTATGGTGTAAAACAAGCATACTCACTCACTTTTCTATGTTAACCTTATAGGGAAAAATAAAATATGACAACTTGCAAATTTCTGAACATATCTTATTAAAACTTGGCTTATGACTTATTTTGATTGAGGACTTTAGGATTAATGCCAAAAATTCCAGTTTTATATTCATTTTGCACAAAACTAGCACAATCCTATCCTTTACGGGAAATAATTAGTCTTTTCAACTATTAGTCCTAATGGACGTTTTGACCTTTTAAATTTAAAAATGTAAATGCTATTTTAAAAATAAGTTCTTCATAGTTAGTATAGGTTGACGTGAAAACATTTTATGGAAGAAAGTAAAATATTTTACAACTCAATCAATTTCAACAAATCTAGGAAGTGCACTAACTTGGACGCATTATTATAAACATTTAAAATCCTAACATTTACCAACTGAAGCTCATTGGGTTTCAGGAGGGATCGGATTATAAGGGTTCAGGTATTTGAAAAATCGATATTTGTTGTTATTATTTCGTAATTGATTACATTTTTTAGTGTGCAACTAAAAATAGCTTTGAATTAAATAGAATATTGGTAAACCTGTAAATGCAGTTAATAAATCATCTGTTTTGCTCGGTCAGCTGATGCAATTTTTATTGTTGCATACTTTGTTTACATTGAATTTCCAGTCCATTGTTATTGGCAGTGAATATCATGTACACTAACAGTGAATATGCAGATATGGTATTTATTTATGGATTTTGTGATGGAAATTCAAGATCATCCGTTCAAGAATACGCTAGAAGATTTCCCAATAGGCGTACGCCTAATAGGCAAGTATTTACAGATCTATTTAATCGACTAAGGGAGACAGGATGTGTTAGAAAAGTTGTCCTTGACGGTGTAGTTCAAACTCCTGTAGAGGTTGAAAATGACATCTTACACTCTGTTCAGCAAAGCCCAGGAACAAGCGTAAGAAAGCTTTCACGACAGCACCTGGTGTCTATTTCTAAAACCTGGAGAATTTTACATAATGAAGGATTATATCCTTATCACTTAAGAAAGGTTCAGGCGCTTCACGCTGGTGATACCCTAAGAAGGTCTCAGTTTTGTCGCTGGGTAGCAGGAAATCGTCACCAAATTAAGTTCATACTCTTTACTGATGAAGCTCAATTTACTCGGAATGGAATAAACAACTCAAAAAATGTCCACATATGGGCCGAAGACAATCCACATGCCACAGTGGAGACAAACTTTCAACAGAGGTTTTCGGTGAATGTTTGGTGCGGTCTTTTAAATGACAAACTTGTAGGACCTCACATCTTAGATGGTGCTCAAAACGGTGTAAGTTATCTACATTTCCTAAACAACACTTTGCCGGAACTGCTCGAAGATGTTCCCATCCAGTCAATGGCAAGGATGTTTTATCAACATGACGGTGCTCCCCCACACAGGAGTCGAGCTGTAGTTGAAACGCTGAGAAACCGTTTCGAGGAAAAACTTATTGCTCATCAAGGACCAGTGAATTGGCCCCCTAGGTCGCCCGA